TCTATTATAGAGAAAGGGCAAATAGCAATGTTAAAATATTTCCTCTAATTAATTCCCTTTTAATGTGCATGAATTTCGTGCACCGAGCTACTAGTTATCAATAAAAAGAGAAATGGAAGGTACCTTAAATTTTCACAAAATAGATTTTAAAACAAAAAGCAGTATTGGTGATAAAGAGGGCCACTACTTAACGTATCAGAAAGAAAATAACTTTAACTTATGTACCTAATTAAATAGTCTCAAATTATAAAAAGCAAATATTCAGAGTTTCAAGTAAAATGAACAAATCCAGAATTAAAAGTACTCTTTGTTCTTTACTACAAAAAACATGAATAAAAGTGAGTAATACAAAAATGGCAATAAATATCTATCAACAATTGAATTTAAAAAACAAAATAAATGAACAAGCAGAACAGAAATAGACTCATATATATAGAGAACATTTTGACAGTTGCTAGATAGTAGTAGGGTTGGGGGATGGGTGAAAAAAGGTGAAGGGATTAAAAAGTACAAGTAGGTATTAACAGAATATTCATGGGGATGTAAAAGTACAACACAGGGAATCCTATATAATAAAAGGGTAATATGCAAATTGACCCTAATGGTGGAATGACTGGTTGCTATGATGCGCACTGACCACCAGGGGGCAGACGCTTAATGCAGGAGCTGCCCCCTGGTGATCAGTGCACTTCCACAGGGGGAGCACCGCTCAGCCAGAAGCCGGCTCATGGCTGGCCAGCGCAGTGGCAGTGCAGGAGTCTCTCCTGCCTCCGCAGCAATGCTAAGGATGTCCGACTGATGGCTTAGGCCCGCTCCTCGCAGGGAGCAGGCCCAAGCCGATAGTCGAACATCCCCCAAGGGCTCCCGGGCTGCCAGAGGGATGTCTGACTGCCAGCTTAGGCCCAATCCCCCAGCGAGCAGGCCTAAGCCAACAGGTGGACATCCCCCAAGGTGTTCCAGATTGCGAAAGGGTGCAGGCCAGGCTGAGGGACACCTCTGAATGCATGAATTTTCATGCACTGGGCCTCTATTATAATCAATAATATTCTAATAACTATGTATGGTATCAGGTGGGTATGAGATGTATGGGGATGATCACTTAGTAAGTTATGTAATGTCTAACCACTGGGGTTTACACCTGAAATTAGTATAATAATGTATGTCGACTGTAATTGAAAAAGAAAAATGATTTTAAAATGAGAAAAAAGCCCTAGCCAGTTTGGCTCAGTGGATAGAGCGTTGGCCCATGGACTGAAGGGTCCTGGGTTCAATGGTCAAGGGCACGTACCTTGGTTGCAGGCTCCATTCCTGATAGGGGCTATGTGGGAGGCAATCAATCAATGTTTCTCTCTCATATCGATGTTTCTCTCTCTCCCCCTCCCTTCCACTCTCTCTAAAAATCAATGGAAAAACATCCTTGGGTCAGGACTAACAAAGAAAAAAAAAAAGAAAAATGTGAGGGAATACATTCACAAAATAACATGTGTATTGCTTATGGGATTAAAGGTAATTTTTCTATACTTTTTTTTGATTGTTGTGAGAATTTTTATAATTAAAACTTTTTTTTTCAAAAATCAAGCATGGAGGTGGAAAATGTTAAGTGAGGGCTTAGGATGGGCTTAGTTAATTATGGATTTACTATATTTGGGGTAATTACATGCAATAGTTTAGTTCCTACCCCAATGTTTATCAGTTTGACGACATTTTAACAAGTTAATTTCTTACTTCTTTATATTTTACTAAAATGTTAATGATTTACTCTTGAACTTAAATGGTTCAAGCATCCTTGACTGATACATTAAAGAATCTGATTAACCACATAGCTTTTGTTTTCACAAATAAGAATAAAAGAATTTTGAAGAGAATGCACAATAATGCAACCCACCCAAGTTTAAATATGCTATATTATTGTTAATAGCTACTTCATTCTGGTAACTGTATCTGCTCCACCAGCCACTGCTATTATCATTATAGACATTAGTTACCTTTAAAAGAAGTGAGAAAGATACAAATTGGTAATGCTTGTTTCTCACATTAATACTCCCTTGGACTTAATTTTTATTGCTATTCCTAAAACTTGGTGTTTTATCTCTATTTAAACCTTTTGAAACATGTTGTGATAAGCAATAATTGTATGAAATAGGAACAGATATTTGTATACAAATAGAAAATAAGGCAACATGTTAAGAAGTTGGTTCTAACGAATATAGGCATAGGATTATTTTATCAGAGACTCTCTTTGAATATATCATCTAAAAATATAAACTGTAAACCTAGTAAGTCTACTATACAGAATATATTTTTCATAGTTGTTTATCTTTTACTATATGCAGTTCTGGGAAAATAAAACACTATGTTGGAAAAGTAAAACAGTAATTTTAGAATGTGTTGTTACATTTTGGTGAAAAATATAGAAAAATGATAGAAATTCTAAATTCTTATGAATGTTTTTCCCAATAGATGTGTTTTAGAATCTTTTGAGATTTGAATATCTAGAATATTCAGTTGGTCTAATCCTTTTCTGTTTAAAGGCAATAAAAGAACAAGAATGAAATTCAATTATTTCCAACTCTTTGATATAACAAGACAATGGTCTGAGATTAATAAATAAAACTCAATTTCAATATATTTTTTTAAAAAAATGGTCTCTTTTCTTCTTCCTATTATTTTTAATCCTCAACCTAGGATATTTTTCCCATTGACTTTTAGAGAGAGTAGATGGGAAGGAGGAAGGGGAGAGAGCAACTTGCACTGGAGACACATGGATTGGTTGCCTCCCACCCACGGGTAGAGGGTGGGGGGATGGAGGGATGAACCTGCAATCCAAGTACATGCCCTTGACCAGAATGGAACCCAGGATTCTTCAGTCCCCAGGCCAATGCTGTAACCACTGAGCAACCGGCCAGGGCTCAGTATATATTTTTAAACTATCATTTTATTATCTTCCTTTCCTTTCATTATTGGTGTTTACTATTTAAATTTATTGAATTATAACATACATACCAAAAGCACAAATCATAACTGTACAGCTTGATCAAATCTCACAAAATAACCATATCGGTGTCATCAGCACACTGTAACATTAACTTTTAAGGTGATAAATTGCTAAAATTGAAGGATTAAAGCTGTCAACAACTACAGAAAGGTAGAGAAGCAAAGAATGAGTAAGTGTAACTAAATTAGGTAGGAGGCACACTTGCAAAGATGAAACAGTTTTGGGCGCACATTTTATACTAAATCATCTGAACATCCAGTGTGTCAATCTGACAGGTTCCTGATTTGGGTTGGGGTGGGTCTACTGCGTGTCTCCGCCCCTCCCACCCCCCACCCCCAGCAGTAGTTATGCATTTCAAAGCAAATTGCAGTAAAAATATGAAACTTCAGAATTATTAGATTGTTTAGCAACGTTTTTTTCTTCTTTCCTGAGCTACCTCAGTGAAATCCTGTCACAAACTGTGACTTTACACCATAACTTTAAAATTGAAAATCAGCTTTTCGACGTTTTAAATGTTTTTTTCTTTCTCTTGATAGGCAGACTTTTGTTCACTTAAAATTGAAACTGTAGGACATCTCTTCATTCCTTGTCTAGTCATAGCCCTCAGAAGTGACTAAAGATGATGCGAGATTCACAGGAACTCTACCCACCATTTACCTTGTAAATTTAAAAAGAAGTAGAAAAAAGTCCTTTTCAGGGTTGAGTCCCGAAATTATTTACCCTTCGAGAGCAAAAAAATATTGCTGTGTTTATTCAGTGAACCCTTCCTTAGATTTTTTTATTCTTTATTTTCAGCAATTTCTTCGACCCACCAATAACTTTCCCAGTTAACAACAACAACAAATAGGTTACATAGGTCGCTATTTGTTCGGACTTTACAAGCAGTGATAAGCATTATTAAGGGGGGAGGGTGGGGGTTCCCAATCAAAGAATCCACAGACAGCGAGGAACAATGAAAGATCCACAAAACCCACACGCCACCAGCGCCCGCTCCGATTGCAGGTTGCGGGCGCGCCCGCAGGACTGCCTGCAGGCCGAGGGCAGAGGCCTCCGGCGGAGGGTCCCGGGGATGCGGAGCGGAGCGTGGGGACTGTCGCCTGCCACCCCACCACACACCAGATAAACGCGCCGCATCCCGTCACCGGGACGACTGCAATCCGACACCGAGGCTCAAGATCCCGCTTCCCGCACACCGGGCGCAGAAGAGGCACATCACTGCACGGCCGCGGGGACTCCGTGGCGTCCCGGGCGCGCCGTCTCTTAGGTGCCTAACGCGACGCGAA